TTAAAATAATATTTTAATGCAATAAATAAACAAATGTTAGTCAGATGAAAAAGGGCATTTTCTTTAAATATTAGATTGTTTCATTCATAATATTAAGATTTCTTCATTGTATGAAACATACGACTTTAATTCCATAATATGGAACGAAGACTTTATTATATATTTTTTTTATATTTTTGGTGTCCTTATTTTAAAAAATATCAATGATAAATTTAATATATAGTTTATTTTTAAAAGAATATTAATGACATATTTATTATTATAGTTTAATTATAAATTTTTGAAGGATTTTAGACTAGATTCGTAGAGTTCATGATATTTTTCAGAGAAAAAAGGTATGAATTAGAAATTTTAAAATCCAACGATCATATACGAAAACGACCAATGGTGAGCGGCAGCCAATGGGAGGGGATTTTTGGCTGAATTGAGATATTTCATCCAAATTTCTAGGATCAAATTAAAATTAATTATTTTTTACTAATATTTCATATCATCAAACTGATAAGAGTTAATTGTTAAGTGATCAAAATAAGATATTTAAAAACAAATATAAAAAATATTTTTTAAAATTAAAGACCAAAATAAGCAAAATCAAAATATAAATAATTACACGTATCGTTTACCCTAATATTTATTGTTTCAAGGTTTAATTTGATATTTATTAATGCCACGTTATAAACTGATTTTTAAATAAGAAAACAGAAAATCAAAATGAAGCAGTAAAATAAAAATAAAATTTTCTTTTGACGTTCTTAATTAAGTTAAAGTGACCAAGTATGTAAACTCGATTTGAATTTAATTTAATTTTACTTGTAACGCTTTAATAGATTAAAATTTTGTAATGAAATAAATATGACCTAAGATTCATAATAATTTGGTAAAAGGGTACATGAGGTTTTTGTATATTTTTAAAAAAAAATTAATGTGATTCTCGAACTATTTGCATACTTAATGTAGCCCTTAAACTTAGAAAAAAACCCCAATATGACCACTTGATCAATAATTTTCGTCGTTAATCGTTACAATACTGACGTAACACTTCAAAATGTTGACATTGCAATCTACAGTGTTGACATGATTGGTGACGTGACTGATGATGTGATAAATGAGTTAAATTAATTGTTTTTATTGAGTTAAAGGCTAAATTGAGTTTTTTTAAGTTCACGTACTTATTTAATTTTTTTAAAAATTAAAAATATTTTAAATTTAAAAAATAAAAATATAATAAGTACCAAAAATAAAAATTAAATTGCTAAAAATTAAAAATATATTATTATTTTAATCTTGAATTTAACTTTATTTTATTTATATAAATCTAAACTCGTTCATCATGCATAAATTTTATTTTATAAATTTACTTCTAATTGTTTTAAACTCTAAATGTCTTTCTAATTCCATTTCACTAAATTTTTATAAAATTGAATTAAATAAATATTATAAAAATAAAATTTAATTATGAATTATCATGAATTTATAGAATTTAAAAATATATAAAAAATACTTATACAATTAAGAGAAACATTTTAGTGAATATAATAATGGTCTCATGTACATTTGTTCAAAAAAAGAAGAAGAAAATGTAACATCCTCAATATCGGGTTAGTGACTAGATTGAAAATTTTTAGAAATTGGTGATTAAAGTAGGATAATTGAATAGTTCAATTATTTTTTGGAAATATATGATGAAAGTTATTTAGTAATTATGGAATGAATTAAAGGGTAAAATGGTTAATTGATAAGTAAGATTTTTATTCTTCCTTTATAAGAAAAGGGAACCACGTGGAAAGGGAGAGATTTCTCCAGAGTTCTATTCTTCTCCTTTCTTCTTCTTCACGTGGAAGCCAAGAGCAAAGGTAAGTTTGATTTAGATGTTGATTTATTGAATTTTTAAGTTGGATTTGAGTATTTGGGGGTTATATAAGCTTAAGGAAAGCTTATATAAGTTTAAAACACCAATAAGAGAGAATTAGAAAAGAATTTCTATTAAGAGTTTATAAATGAACTTTTATCATAAAAAGGTTTTTGAAGGTCTAAGGATGAATTTGACTTGTCAATGGTCTAATTAAGAAGTTAGAAGCAATAAAATTAAATTTAGAACATGTTGAAAATTTAGTGTAATTCTTGAATTACATATGGAGAATAGTATTTTGATGTTAAAGAGGTGATTAATGAATAGAAATGAGTTTGATATGAGTATGTAAGTTAAGAATAAGAAAATGGATGATATATGAAGTAATTAAGCTGAAAAGAGTGGATTTTCGGGCATAAATTGGAATTATGGGCTAGTGTGCATCGGTACACATTCATCATGTATCGATGCATCAAGGATAAATTTCCAGAATTTGTTCAGTGTGTATCGATGCACAGGAAGTGCATCGATGCACCCCTTAAAAATGGAAACATCGAATGCAATTAGTGCATCGATGCATAAGGAGTGCATCGATGCACATGTTAAGGGATGAATCGATACACTGTAGAATACATCGATGCACTTCAAGGGGAAATAGAAATAAACCTTTCTTTTGGTCAAAGAAATGATAGATTAGAGTATATTAATTGGATACTAATATGTATCAATGTATGATTATGTAGATATCGAACACGAACAAGTTCCGGTATGATCATCAAGTTAAGATTCGATCGAAAGAAATGAAATCATAAAAGGGGATTGAAAGTTAGTGAGGCCGAGGTGAGTGCATATTCGATAGTATATGATGGTTGATGGAAATAAGACTTGCGACAAGTCTATTTCCTATAGTGTTGCGTATGAATTTATGAATAGTAACTTGTGTTTAATATGAGTGTGTGTATGCTTGTTTATATGAATTGATTTGTTCTTGTATGTGCTATGTGATTTCTTTAAAGACACTATTAAGTGATGACAAGAGAATATAAAATAAGTTAAGAAATTAAATGAGTATAAATGATAAGTTAAGTGATAAGATCTATGTGAATGTGAAAATGATCTATGTGCATATGTGATATATATGATATACATGAACATATGTGAACAAGAAATGAAAATGATATACATGTTATATGAACACATGGGAAGTGTTATAAGATAAGTGATATATGAATATGATATCATATGAACAGTGATATGTACATGTGAATATATGACATGATAGATTGCTAATGCCCATGTTATGTGTAAAGAGAGCTAGAGGTATAGTTGGCATGCCAAGAATCGAGGGTCTACGCGGTCTTTCGGGACATACAGTGATCCTTCGAGATATTTCATAGTGGTCCTTCGGGACAAATCTCATATCCCCTAGTAGGACCCCATACGAGCTATGGTGACAGCATAGTGCACAACCTCAATAGACTCACATATCTACAGTTCTCAAATGTATGCATGGGCTAAAATAAAGGATATAATATGAGAAAAATGATATGTGATACTATATGTTTGTTTGGTAAAATGATGTGTACGTATGTGAAAGTATGATAATAAGATGATAAAGTTATAAAGTAAGGGATGATATGTGCGCATATGAATAATTATTTTATAGATGAATATATGAAATGTGCATAGTAGGAATTAGTATATATATATGTGGGTGTGATGCTTGTATGTGATATGTTAATAGAAATTGTTCAAGCATGATTACGAGTTAGAGTTTTATTATATGTTTTATGCATCACTAAGTCAACGACTTAGCGTGTGATTGTTTCACACGTAGGTATGAGAAACGAGAGTAGAATAGCGAGAAGCAAGACAGATCAATATTTTCCTTACGATGATCAGATCAGAAACATATTGAACATATGTATTTTGTTTATAGAGTTAGTTGGCATGTAATTACAAGATTTTAAATTGAATATGCTCTGATAGTTTTAAAGAAATAATTTGATTGTAATTATTAATGTAAAATACTCATTTTCTTAAATGATGAAATTAAGATTTTAGTGGATTTGTAAAGAACAGAGTTTTGAAAAGTCAGTGTGACATCTCGGACTTGGATACGGGTTGGGGGTGTTACAGAAAATTTACCTACCCGTTAATTTCTGTTATATATAACTTTATAAAGTCAAGGTGGATATTTACTTCATGTGTTTGAGATTTTTTGTCACCCCAATATTTATTTATTTTTAATTTTTTTCAAGAAATATCAAATTAGACTCAACAAAATAAAAATAAAATAAAACTCAAATCAGAATTTATACGTACGAACGTAACAATATAATTATATTACTAAATAAAATAAAACTTAAATTAGAATTCGCCTCTAAATTCAGTGAATCATTTGACAATAACATTTTCAATCCTTCAGGTTAATGTGCATATAAACATTTTAATTTTTTAGTAATTTAATTTTTATTATTTTATATTTATTTTTTTTGTATATTTTAATTTTTAAATTTAAAATAATTTTTAAAAAACAAATAAACCCATGTTCTTTGGAAAAAAAATCAATTTGACATTCAAACTCAATAAAAAAAATTAATTTAGCTTATCTACCACGTCATCAATCAAATCACTAATCATCATGAATTGCTACGTCAGCACCGTATATTGTCATGTCAGCATCTAGCGATCAACGACATAAACCGTTAACACGTTGAATTTTTTCTGAGTTTGAGAATCACATTAAATGCAAAAAATAGTTATAGTCACATTAATTTTTTTAAAAAGTATACAGCCTCAATACCATTTTACCTGATAATTTTATTAATTTATGAATATATTTTTAACTGAAATAAATAAAATAATAGTTGAATAAAAAGTTAAGAAGAAATAATGATACATAAAATCCATATTTAATTTCTGATATTTTTACAATTTATGAAAAGGCAATCATCATCATCTCTTCAATTCTGTCAAAAGATATATATATATCATAAAAAATAAAAGAATGTAAAAACCAATGGGATCCCCTTATTTAAAACAAGCGTGGTGATTAAGCCACGTGGAAGGCTGCACATGTGGCACAAAGGTGGGTGGTGATCAACATGTGTGAACAGCTATATTCAATGGCTCAATTTGCGTAGCCAAAGGGGTCTGATTGCCGAGCCTACGTAGAGACGCAAAAGAAAGAACCAAAAGTAGCGTAAGCACCAAAGTCATCCTTGTCCATCCATCCAACGGCTCTGCATAAACTTCAGCCACCACCATTGATCTCCGCCGTCCAAACGCCCTGCATTTGTTTATGAGCCTTGTCCCTTAGTTCAGGCGTTTGCTTTGTTGGTTGGATTCTAAGTTGCAAATTCATTTTAGCCTTCTCTCTCTCTCTCCTTTCTTCCTCTTTCTTTGGCTTTTGATCTTCATAGGAAAAACCCCATTGCTTTGCTTCGATTAACAATGGTAATGCCATCGCTGTAAATGCCAAATATTTCTTCTTTCTTTCTTGTTCTTTGTTCATTGTTCTTCCCTGGTTTGCTTTCTCGGTCTCATTATTCATTTTCCCCTTGGTTTTCTCAATATAGACAACAATGCCAGTGCCGCCATGGCTAGAGTCATTGCTAAGTACAGCCTTTTTCACGGTTTGCAGAACACATGGAGATGCAGCTAGGGGAGAATGTAACATGTATTGTTTAGATTGTAAAGGAGACGCGTTTTGCTTCTATTGCCGCTCCTCTAAACACAAAGATCATCAAGTCATTCAGGTAAAATCCAATGTAAGAAAATTTACATTCTTCTTCTTCTTCTTCTGGTAAATATATAATTTAAAACTTTGTGTATTTGGTTTGGGTTTTTGATCCAGATAAGGAGATCTTCATATCATGATGTAGTGAGGGTTTCCGAGATTCAAAAGGTATTGGATATAAGTGGGGTTCAAACTTATGTGATAAACAGTGCCAGGGTTCTATTCTTGAATGAGAGGCCTCAACCAAAATCTGGAAAAGGTGTTGCTCATATCTGTGAAATCTGTGGAAGAAGCCTCTTGGATCCATTTCGTTTTTGTTCTTTGGGATGTAAGGTAAGTTATTACTTTTTTTTCTATATTTACTTCACATTTTTTCATCATCACCATTACAATTCATACATGCATCACCATCACAACTACCACCACATTGATCATCATTATCAGTTACATCATCAATCATTATTATATCATATGCATAAGATACATTAATTGGCCAGCAACATGCATGCTCCACATTGTTTGATATTTCCAATATATGCATGGATTTTGCTTTGGTTTTAACTAATTAAAAAAAATCTAAAACCCATTTTTAATATGAACTTAGCTTGTAGGAGTAAGGAGGAATGGGAATGCAAGTTTTAGCTTAGAGGCAAAGAATGAGGTGTTAATGGATAGAACTAGAAAAGAAGGGATGTCAAAGGAAGAAGAAGAAGAAGAAGAAGAAGAATTGCGTGAAGGCTCACAACAAGACATTTATCTGCCCACGCCTCCCCCACCTCCTTCAAATGCAAGGAGAAGAAAAGGAACCCCTCATCGTGCACCTTTCGGATCCTAAAAGGAACCAAGTACACTATTATATTCAAAATTTCACCCATTTCTTTATTTATTACCCACATAAAAAAAAAGTGAAATTGTTTGGGGGTCTTTAAATTTGTTAAATTGTCCTAACTAAAGGGGATGTAGGGTATCATTATTTGGTTAAGGGGAGTAAAAAAATAAAATCAAGGGTAAACTACATATTTAGTCACCCAACTATTCTTGCGGTTTCGTTTTGGTCATCAACAATTTTTTTTTTAAAAGCATACTTGAGGTTACGTTTTGGTCACTTGTTAAAAAATTAACAGTGATACTGGCGTGTTATCACAATGTAATGTCGCGTATTGACAAAAATAAAAATAATTACCACTTCAGCAGTTTTTATTTTTATTTTTTAACGGCAGGTGACTAAGACATAGCAAAAATATAACTTTAGTTATGATTTTTAAGAAAAATCATTAGGTGATCAAAACGAAACTGTAAGAATAATTGGGTGACTAAATACATAATTTAGTCTAAAAGCAAAATGAAATGGGAGCAAGTAAAGTAGATTTTGGGTTTTGGAATTGGGTCCCTCTTTTGCAACAGATCCCTCTGTATATGTTGGGGAAGAAAGGTCAATGATGCAGGAATTAAGAAATGTTAATTATTGCATAGTTGTACATCGTAACAAAGGAATTATATAAAAAAGAAAAGCAAAGTCTTTGGGTGGAGTTTTTGTTTTATAGTTTTCATGGGTCCATCAATCACATGGGCAGTTTACATAAAGGAACAAAACTCCTGTTTTTTATTTGTTCACGTAATGCAGAGGACTAATCAATCAAACATTTTCTTTTTCTTGTGATAAATTGTTACCAAGACTTTACATTTTCTCATTTCATTTCAATTTGGTTGTGGAATGGTTATTATCCTCTTCCACCATTTATTCTTGTGGAAGAAAATCCGAAATAGATTTTTTTATCACAATAGATGATTAAGGGAGCATGGAAATCGAGAATTTTTAAGCTGCGCATGCTTCGATTTTCTCTTAAAGAGTGGACCTTGGGAAGGGGTGGAATATAAAACAAGGGAAAAACTGAAACTAAGGGTTTCTTGGTGAATGCAAACTTTTGCTACAACAAATCAGAGGATTTCACTGTCTAAACTTAGTGAAACACTATTTAACTAAATTATTATTAATTATGATTCTTAGCTATTCTTTCAAGGTACCGGGAAAGTTTTGGGTATTCATTGATTCATAGCCATTACTCTTTGTCAAAAGTACCCTATTTGATGTTGAAGAAGATGATGTTTTTCCAGTTTCTTGTGCTAAGTTAATGAAGCACAGAGACAAGGATCAGTTCAACTCCTGTTGACTCTTCAGTTTATGAAATTGTAAAACTAAATACAGATGGTGGTTTGCAAACAGCTGAAAAACACTTTGGTCTTCCCAAGACTCCAACAAAGCTGGATTCGATTTTTCTTTTCCTTTGAGTTTAGAGACCGTAGACATGACAAATTGAAGTGGAGTTTTATTTACACGTGGCATTCCAGGTGTTTGGAGTCTGACACAAAAGTGACTGAAACCTCTATGCCGTTTAATTGGGCAAGTGTCTGATCCCTTTCATATGGTTATTGTTAAGGACGAGTAAGGTTGAAGATAAAATCAGAATTCAGATCCCTTTCTATTTCTCCACCTAATTTAAAAACAGTGTAAATAAAATACAAGTAAAAAACCTTGAATTATTTGCTACTTGCTATAATGTTGTGACCTCTGAAAGCTAACCAGGTAATTCTTTTTTATATTTATTTTCTGTCACTGACCAAGTCCATGCCCTATCTTCTAACGCATGTGCTTATACTCGGTGCCCGTCAGTTTTTTTTATATGCAAGAAACAGTAGTTTCAAGATTCAAATCTCACTAAACTCCGGTTTGAAGATTCTGTAAGTCGGTTGATATCCGATTCGGTTGATTGACTGGGCCATTTTTGTTTGCAAGTTAAGTAGCGTGAAGTTTCAAAAGTATGTTATTCAAATGACATGCTGAAGTTTCAACCATGTTATTTCTCTTCAAATGAGGAATGCATTATTGAAAAACAAACCATTGACTTACTTCCATCTGTCATACCAACTACTAGCCACGAAACTGAGTGTGACGGTTGACAAATTTTAGCCACTCATCTCACCTATCCCAAGCAATTGATAGGCCACAGATTCTCAGCCTCAAACTCCTTTCAATCTGTTCTTAGAGTGTTGGGGCTTTCATGGCGTCCAAATGCATCACCTTCCATCCCCACCTTTCTCTTCACTCTCCAATACCCCAAAATCCGAGATTCTCACGGCTTGCTCCCACTTCTCTGTTCTCAGCTGTCAAAACTGCCAAAATCAAGACCACCCACAATCAAATATATCCGTCCTTTCCCAAAAGATGTGCTACTTTAACACCCATGGCATCTTCAGGTAAATTCAGTGGTGGAACAAAGTTTGATGAGTTTGAACCCGATCCAACTCTCACCAATGACGATCTCTTGCCAACAGCCCCTAGTCAAAGGAACTTCCAATGGTGGGAAATGGCCAGTCTTTGGATTGGTCTTGTCGTTGGTGTCCCATCCTATTACATGGCTGGTAGTCTTGTTGATCTTGGGATGGCTTGGTGGCAAGGGATTGCCACTGTTGTTACTGCCAACATGATCTTGTTAGTCCCATTAGTCCTCACGGGTCACCCTGGCACCAAATATGGAATCTCTTTCCCTGTCTTGGCGAGATCGTCTTTCGGTATCCGTGGTGCCCATGTTCCTACTTTGCTTAGAGCTTTGGTCGGTTGTGGCTGGTATGGGATTGAGAGTTGGATTGGAGGTGAGGCAATTTTCCTTCTCCTCCCAGATTCCATTAAGCAATCTTCATTTTCCCAATTCTTACCATGGCTTGGCACTTCCCCTCTTGAATTTGCTTGTTTTATTGTCTTTTGGTTGGCTCAGTTGGCCATAGTTTGGAGGGGAATGGAAGGAATTAGACACCTTGAAAAATATTCAGCACCAATTCTAATCATACTGACATCAATGCTTCTCATTTGGGCTTATGTCAAGGCTGCTGGTTTAGGCCACATGTTATCCTTGTCTTCTAGGCTATCTTCCTCTGAGTTTTGGTCTCTATTTTTCCCTTCACTCACTGCAAATATAAGCTTCTGGGCCACTGTAGCACTTAACATACCTGATTTTACTCGGTTCGCTAAGACTCAGAGGGATCAAATCATTGGTCAGGCCGGCCTTCCATTCTTCATGGGGGCATTCACATTTGTTGGCCTAGCCGTTACATCTTCAACTCAAGTGATTTTTGGCCAAGTAATCTCTAATCCAATTCAACTTCTTGGCCAAATTGGAGGGTTCACAACAACGATATTAGCCATTCTTGGAATAAGCCTAGCCACCATCACAACCAACATTGCAGCCAATGTTGTTGCACCAGCAAATGCATTGGTCAATCTAAGCCCTTCCATGTTCACATTCAGAAGAGGGGCTCTGCTGACTGCATTGCTTGGCATTGCTTTTCAGCCATGGAGACTGCTAAAGTCGAGTGAGAGCTTCGTATATACATGGCTAGTAGGCTACTCCGCGTTGTTGGGACCGATCGGCGGCATCATCTTGGCAGATTATTACCTTATTCAGCGAACAAATTTAAGCATCCAAGACTTGTATTCTATAAGTCCCGGTGGGGCATATTACTATTCGGGAGGCATCAATTCGGCAGCAATGGTAGCTCTAGTAATCGGAATATTGCCGGTAATCCCGGGGTTGTTGCTAAAGGTGGGGATTCTATCGTCGGTTTCGGATGCTTTTATTGTGATTTACAGCAATGCTTGGTTTTTCAGCTTCTTCTCTGCAGGCCTAGTCTATTGGATTTTGGCAAGTTTGATAAGAAAACAGAACAAACACTTACCGTTTGATCCCCTTCTGCCAACAACTTCCTAAGTCTTCAGTTTCCTCTTGATTTCTTTGTATATTTTCACTTTGCAAAAACGTATTAAGAGTGCACATAATTTGTGGTGAATCTAAACATTCAACCATTTAATATACACTCTCTACATACTACAAATACTCCACTATTTATGCAGTTGTAAAGTGTACTCAAACTGTAATATGTTGTGTCAAGCTATTTCATTGAATAAAATTTGCATTACTGTCATTACCAAGTGGCCAAGTCATTAGTTGCTTGCATTTTTTGGTAAGAAAGGTTGCAATATTGGACAAGAGAAAGGATAAAGTTGGAATACTAACCCTAAACCTGTTGAACGTCACCTTCTCTGAATTGCAGTATGAACTAAATCCCTGCCTAAAGTTCTCGAGAAATGTTCATTCTGGGATAAAGCCTCTTTTAATTGATCCAAAATTATACACATGCACGAACTAAACGACCTCGGTGGTTAAAAGAATAGTTGTTATCTTTTGAGATCCCGAGTTCAAGTACGACGTCTACAAAAATGTATGAACGTTCACTATCGAATGATTGAGAATCTTTCGAACAAAAACTATGTTCTAATCACAGCAGAATAATTAAAAAAATAGTTATACACGAGTACGAAAAAGAAGAAATTAATCCACTGCTTTCTAACGTTTGGATCAAGAATTTCAGGCCCAATAAAACTGGGCACCGGCCTAAAGTTGCCATTCGGATAAAATTCAGGGATGGCTTAGGCTTATCCATCCTCCTGACTTTTTTTTATCAAATATTAAAATTAGATATAGTTCAGATCAAATGTAATTATTTTCAAGTATATTGAAACCTATAACTTTAAGATGTTATAATAATAAATATGTTAATTGAATTAATACTTTAGATAATTATACTTTCATATAAATATAAAACTAAATGAGTTAACGATCTCTAGAGCATATGATTATAAGGTTTCGGACTCCCATCTCTCCTAGATTATGAGTTCAATAGTCATCTAGAGTAAAATTATTCTTTCCCTTCTCTAAGTAGTAATTGTACTTAATATAAATGATTATTTTAACACAAATGCATCCTATTGGAGTCAAAATGTGTAGTACAATATGTGATAATTCATTGTGTTTCAACACACGTCACCGGTTTATGATAATGGTGAACTACTTTACATATACAAAGGATAGATATTTCAATTTTTTGAAATCGTCATGAATCAAATCACCGTGTTGAAATAGACAACACTAGCCTTGCTTCTTTTCTCATTGTTTTAATACATCTTAAGAGAATTATCGATTAAAAAGGAAAACTAGTACTGATAAGAAAGTGACATCAACGGATGCATGCCTGGCCCGAGGTGCTAGGTTAGGGCCACTATATCCGCACTTAGCTCTTCCTCAAGGAGGAGCCGTGCCATCCCTATCAACCACGAAATGACAATGAAATTGCATAGGTTCTTTTATCTCTTGCTTTATGCTGCTATGTGTCACGGACTTAGCCTAGTTGGTTCGGTTGCTAATCCGTGTGGCACTCGAAAGGGACGCTTCCCAACCAAGTCAGCCTTAATCTCGTAGATCTGATCAGGCATAAACAAACATCGCGTTTGATCTTTATAGCCACATGATCCTTCGACCAATAATCCGAGCCCGTGGGGCATAGCGGATGCACACCTCAACCCCGGACTTCTCCGAGAGAAAAATGTTTTATTAATAAAAGAAACATCGGGTTACAGAAGACTCACCCACACCACCGATTAGGCCGTAGGGGCGGCCCTCGATGGTGTTCACAAGACACGTACCTTTACCTGTGGATCAGCCCAAACTCTGCCGGCTGTCCACCCCTTACATATATGCAAAAACAAAATAACAGAAATGCTACCTATAGACGTTGAAATGCTCGAACAGGGGACAGTAAGTCATACCCCCACTCCCTACCTAAAACATTAAAATGCTTGAAAAGAGGACAAGCTTATTCTACCCTGCCACTAGGCCCTATACATGGTTGGCCTTGGCGTACCTACCCGGTTGTGACCCCATAAAAGGGACGGTCACGATAATCTCCCCCACCTAATTTGTCGACGTCCTCGTCGACTGCTTGGCCTGAAACTCTTCAATCTTTTGCTTGAATGCCCTGAGATCATACTCTCTTTCCCAAGTGTTCTCTTCCTGATCAAAGCCTCCCCACTTGACTAGATACTCCCGTCTTTGCTTTCCACCCACCTTAACAATTCTCCCTGCTAGAATCTCGTCAACATGACGCTGTGAGGGTGGTTGTGTGCCGATTGACTCCCTGGCAGACATACTCTAATTATCGATATTGGGATCGGTGTGAAACGGCTTCAAATTGCTCACATGGAAGACAGGGTGAACTCTCATCCAAGTAGGAGGGTTAACTTTGTACGAAGCATTCCCCACCTTTGCTACTATTGAGAATGGACCCTCGTACTTACGCACCAAGCGACGATCCCTCTGGCGCAAAAATCTAAGTTGTTCTGGCATCAACTTGACTAGCACCAAATCTCCAACCTGAAAGTGTAGGTCTCGCCTGTTACGATCTGCGCATTTCTTCATACGCTTCGTTGCTTTCTCTAAGTAAGCCTTGGCAATCTCCATATTCTGCTTCCACTCCCCTACAAAATTTGAGGCACGAGGGCATCTACCTTGAGAGGTCTCATCCACAGTGTGAGGAAGTCTTGGCTGCTGACTTGTCACCAGTTCAAAAGGGCTTTTATTAGTAGACGAACTCTTTTGTGAATTAAAACATAATTGCGCCAGATCCAATAAGGGAGGCCAGTTCTTCTGATTGGCCTGAATAAAGTGCCTCAGGTACTCCTCCAAGAGTTCATTAAATCGCTCAGTCTGACCATCTGTTTGAGGGTGGTAACTCGACGAAAAGTTGAGTTGTGTCCCCAATAACTGGAACAATCCTTTCCAAAATTTCCTAATAAATCTTCCATCTCGGTCAATGACTATGCTCTGAGGAATGCCCCAATATCTCACCACATGTTTGAACACCAACTTAGCAGTCTCTTCCGTCGAACAATACTTTGATGCTGGTATAAAAGTGGCATACTTCGAGAACCTGTCCACTACCACCAAAATTGATCCAAGATCTCCTACTCGAGGCAAGCGTGATATAAAATCCAAGGAGATACTCTCCCAAGGTCGGGCGGGTACGGGTAGTGGCTCGAGTAACCCAGCAGTCCTCTGTCGATCTACCTTATCTTGTTGACAGATAAGACATGTCTTGGTGTAATCCATCACATCTTGGCGCATTTGAGGCTAATAATACCCTTGTCCCAACAAAGCAACAGTACGCCTCCAACCAGGATGCCCGACCCATGGGGTATCATGACATTCCTTCAACAACTTCTGTCGTAGATTTCCAGCTCGAGGAACAAACATTCGTAGCCCCTTTGTCATCAATAAGCCATTTTCTATCCAAAAACATTATCGAAACACCCTTTTTAACCATCTACATAAGGGCCTCCACTTGCGGATCTTACTTGGAAAAGTTCACAAGGAGCTGACGAATTTCATTGGACACTCTACTAGCGGATATAGGGGCCACACATCGGAGTGCTGCCAAATCTGCCCTGCGACTCAAAGCGTCAGCAACCTGATTCTTTTTCCCCGCCTTATGCTCAAAGTTGAAGTCAAACTCGGCCAGAAACTCTTGCCATCTAGCTTGCTTTGCTGTTAGTTTCGGTTGTGTAAGGAAGTGGCTAACTGCTGTATTATCGGTCTTTACCACAAATTTGGAACCCAAAAAATAATGCCTCCAAATTCTCAAGCAATGAATTACTGCGAGAAGTTCTTTCTCTGGAGCCGTATATCTCGCTTCAGTTTCATTTAGCTTCCTACTCTCAAACGCCACGAGATGTTTGTCCTGTAAGAGTACGCCTCCAATTGCATAGTCGGATGCGTCTGTCTCTACTTCTAGAGGTTTTTCCAGGTCTGGCAAGGTAAGCACTGGTTCACTGATTACAACCTTCTTTAAATCGTCAAAGGCCTCTTGACAGTCCTTGGACCAAACCCACTCGCAGCCTTTCTTTAGCAAATCGGTGAGTAACTTTACTCTACGAGAATAACCTTCTACGAATCGTCTATAATAATTGGCCAAACCAAGGAAAGATCTAAGCTCACTAACATTTTGTGGGGTCGGCCACTCCTGGATAGCCTTCACATTCTCTTTATCCATACGAATGCACCCTCGTTCAATGATGTGGCCCAAAAATTGGACTTGCGTTTGGACGAAAGCACATTTCTCCTTCTTCACAAACAACCGATTTTCCCGTAATCTCGTCAGCACCAACCGAAGATGCTCCAAGTGCTCTTCTATAGAATTGCTAAAAATCATTATATCGTCCAAGTAGATGACTACGAATTTATCAAGATAGTCATGGAACACCTGGTTCATCAAAGTGCAGAAAGTAGCGGGAGAATTGGTTAGTCCAAAAGGCATAACAAGAATTCAAATGCTCCATACCGAGTTACACATGTCGTCTTTGGCTCATCCACTTCGGCCACTCTCACTTGATGGTATCCCGACCTGAGATCCAACTTCGTGAAATACTTAGCATTACTCAGCTGGTCGAACAAATCGGCAATCAACGGAATGAGATATTTATTCCTGACAGTCACTTTGTTTAATGCTCTATAATCAACACATAATCTCAAACTCCCATAATGTTTTCTCTGGAATAACACAGGTGCCCCGAAAGGTGACTTCGAGGGTCGAATAAATCCTGCTTGGAGCAACTCATCCAATTGTTTCCTCAACTCTGCAAACTCCGGATGACTCATCCGATATGGGCATTTCGCAGGAGGTTTTACTCCCGGAATTAATTCAATCTCATGGTCCACCAACCGTCTAGGGGGCAACTCTTTCGGCAATTCACCCGGCATTACATCCTCAAAGTCTCTCAGCACTTCTTGAACATTCCTGGGCACCATGCCAAGATTGTCATCCTCTTTGGAAATTGGAAAGACTAAGAAGGAGGGCTCCCCCTTTTTCACCCCTCTCTTAAATTGGATAGCGGACAATATCTTCTTCCCAGGACGAGGGAGAATCGTAGCTGGTACCACACATGGCTGCTCCCCCATGAACATTAAACAACTTGATGCCGGAACAAGAATCATCTGGGATGCCATCATAAAATCGAGCCCTAATACCACGTCAAAATCATCCATATGGGAAACAGTGAAATCTACACTTCCTTCCCAAGACCCAAGCTTGAACTG